ATTGCTATTTGTCTTTCTTTCTCCAGATTTATTATTAGACTCGCCTCCTAAGTCTCGTTCTCCCGTTATTAAAGCTGGTTCAAACGGAGAATCACAGTGAGCAGTCATTCGGCCTCGCTTAGCGACATTTCCCTGGATGTCTTAAGTATGGTAATAACCCTCGCAATTAGCCTCGCCACAGCTAATGCAACTTATGGCCTCATCAGCCACCATCGGCCTGCGCAAGTCAACAACTCATTTCACTTCAGCAGTGGGCCACAATGCACAATGTCGTACAACACACCACTATTTGTGCACGGCAGCAATTGGGTATCCTAGGGTGCTCATGAACCAAAACGTAAAACTCGTACAATTGGAAGGCTGCCGTATTGTGGAGGCAGTCAACACTAGAGAGGTCGGCCAGACAGAACTAAGAGGAGCCAAGAATGACAGAACAATAGTGTGGTCATTCAAGAGCAGCCACTAGGAAAGGTACATGGTGGTCAAGACCAAGAAGAGAAGATACTGTAAGTAATCTACGTCACAATCAATGTGCGATCAGATATGTAACAGAACAGATGTAACATAAGATATAAATCAGAATGTAAGATAAGAACTCAACAACGGCAATACAAAAGGTAGGATATCAAAGAGTGGTATAGGTGATCATTGAGGAGGGATATAGGCAAGTCAATGATAAGGAAAATCTAAAGGTCAATTGAGGATCAGTCAAAAGACAATGAGATCGAGGCCAATGATTATCAGTCAATGGTAGTAGTGAAGGTACAATGCAGGATTGCAAGGAGCAATGAGGACTGAGGCGCTGGTGTGCTAAATCAGGGCTGAAGGGAATAATGCAGACAGCAAAGGCTGGACCAGTCCTGGAAGGGAGAGGATGGACAGTGCAGAGAAAAGTAGTAAGGTTGGAGCAGCAGCCTTACAACAATTGGAAGTGGGCAACGATATGTCCTCAAGCAGTTCAAAAGGACTCGGTGGCACGTGGTGCGCGTCTGCACCGAATTCGTCGATTAGTATCTTCCACGGCGGATGACGCCTGCTCGAATCAGGCCCGAGTCATGGCAATTCTTGATCTTCTTTTCCCTTTTCGTAGTGATTTTGATTACATCCTCTTTACAATCAAAAGAATTTCGTCCAGTACAGGTTTGTGAAAATCCGGTGGCCAGAGTCACTCCACGTCGCAGGGCTAAGAAGTGGGGGGAAAAAAAGACATCACCAACGTCGTATGGCTGGGGCCCGAGTCGAACGGGCAATCCTGCAGTAATCCCTACGTAGTACCACCGCAGAGAAATGCTGATGCGCACCACACGCTACCGAGCCTTGCGCACGCCGTGAATGGGAGGTGTTACAGCTGTTTGCGGAACTTAGGGCGCAGCTCGCTTTTTTTTCTTTTCAATGAGATTTGCGTCGGATGGCTCTCCTGAGCTCAAATCTCAACCGTTTTCCTTTAAAATATGCTCATTATGCTGGCATTGAAATTCCGGAGGGCATGGTCTCCTCAGATTTTCCGATGGCCAATCAAATTGCTTGATTGGGAAAATATCCGCGTCCTGAACAGGATGGCTGTAACATTAGCAATCCTTGTTGAATCGGCCTAATTTTTTGATACGATGGACTCACAGGTGTACCAGAGGGCACCACATACCGGCATTTTTTATATGACTTGTATTTGGCTCGAGACCTTGAAAGGAGAATGCGGTGTTGTTGTAATATAAACTGCATCTGATTTATGTGTCACATTAAAAATGCCGGTATGTGGTGCCCTTCGGTATACCTGTGACTCCATCGTGTCAAAAGATTAGGTCAATTGAACAACAATAGCTAATGTTACAGCCATCCTGCTCAAAACACGGATATTTTCTCAATCAAGCAATTTGATTAGTCATCAGAAAATCTGAGGAGACCATGCCCTCCGGAATTTCAATGCCAGCATAATGAGCATATTTTAAAGGAAAGCGGTCGAGAATTGAGCTCAGGAGAGCCATCCGACGTAAATCTTATTGAAAAAAAAAAAAAAAAACGAGCTGCGCCCTAAGTTCCGCAAACAGCTGTAATATAAGCTGCATTAATTTCAAGTAATTTCTTCTTTCTCTCGGTCGGACCGGGCGAGTTAAGTCCCCGCCTCCGCCTCCCGTGCTTCCACAGTTCCAGCGCAAATGTGAGCTATGGGAAGAAGGGAGCCGAACAAGAAAGAGAAATAAAATAGAAAATAAAAAATCTGAAGCACTAACGATGCATGGCTCGTGCCCGAGTCGAACAGGTAATCCTATGACTACTCCAGTCTGATGGTTATCATTGCACAGAATGCAGAGGCGCACACCACGCGCTACCAAGCCCTATTCGCGTCCTTCCGTCCGCCCATCCGGGAAACACAGAGAGAGAGTAAGTCGCGTTCCAGCGAGCCTCTGAAATTCAGAATCCATCGACTCAACTCCGCCCCACTCAATCAGAGAAGGATGAGCGATGAAGTATGAACACGCGAGAAAAAGCAGTGGTCAGAAACAAAAGTCTCCACGCCGCACGTGCGAAGAAGGGAGCCGGAGAAATAATATAAAACATAAAAAATCTGAACCATTGACAATGCATGGCTCGGGCCCGAGTCGAACAGGCAATTCTTGCGATAATCAAGTCCTGGGCTCTCGCCCACGCAGAAATGCTGACGCGTACCACACGCTACCGAGCCTTCCGTGGGTAGATACTTCGAGCCGTGGATAGGAGGTGTTCTTGAACCTGCATTAATTTTCTTCCTCTCCGCCTCCGACTCCCTACACCCTGACGAAAAAAGCCGTGTTGATACACTTTTTCAACAGCTAGGTGAAGTGATAAGTACGTGAGTGTGAGCTGCGGGGTAGGGGTGCGATGAGGTTCTGTAGATATGTATGACGGATGTTGATGATGAGGGATAAAGGATGAGCGCGATACATTGAGCGAGTAAGTTAGTGAAGCGAAGATGAAGATGAAGAAGCGAAAATGAAAACGCAGCGCAGAAGAGTAGAGCAACACAAAAAACCACTGAAGAACATTGGTTAGTATGCGATGTGCCGCACGGATAACGAACTGACCGCGTCAGTATATCTAAGCACGAGGAGCACCTCGGGTCGACCGCCAACGCCTCGCTCTTCATCTTCTCGAGAGCGTCCACCGGGGCAGGCCGTATATGGAGGGGAGCTCCTCCCAGAGCGGGGCGCGCGTAGCGCGGTGGTAGGCTTCAGACGCTTCGAGACACTAGGCGCAGATCTGTGTGCGGTGGTTTATAAACGAAGGAACACCAAGGAACCGGCAAAGCAGCGCATCACGCACCTTATTCTCAAGCGGGCTCCACTCCTTCTAACTCCCCCTCGGATCGCTAAAATTCCAACCCCCCCACATCGCCAAGATAGCTCGCCGAGCACGCCGAGCACCGATCCAAACTCGTGCACGCCTCCATTAATGGGATGCGGAAAAGTGGCGGCATAGGCGGACGCTTCGTGTAGCTCATGATGAATGTCTCGCGAACGACGTCGCGCTCGCGGGCGTTGAAGATGTCAACGCGCATGTCGGAGTAGCTGGCAGAGGAAGTAGAAGAAAGACGGTGGGGAGGAACCAGGGGGCGCCGGGTTCGGAGGCGCAGCGGATGGTGAGGGAGGAGCCCGTCGGAGGCCGGGCGACTTTGTAGATGCGAGGGAGGTGGGGAGAGACGGAGGATGCTGGTTATGATCGGCAGGGTGGATTTGAGCGAAGAAGCTTAACACCGTTAGAACAACATTGCTGCTAATTGGAATTAAATATGGCTCGCAAGAAATACGTCACGTCCGCTGGTTGGCGAGGATGGAGGTCTCTTCCGGCGGTGGAGGAGTACCTAGCACAATGGAACGGATGGGGGTGACGGTGAGCTTGTGCTCCTGGACGACCACAGGACATGCGTCCATCGTCTGGTCGCTCTGCGTCTCCCTCCCCAGCACCTTGCTCACGCTTTACCGCCTTCACCTCAGCCACCGACGATCGCCTTGGCCTCGGAAAGGCAAGCATATCACGACAGACGCTGGACCGCGCGGCGAGCACGCCTTTCGATGAGAATTCTCGGCCGCCCGGCGCGCAAGTTGAGGTTGTCGTCCTCCAAACAGAGCTCGGGGACGCGGATCAGAGTCGCAGTGGAGGGCCTAGAGGGTCGAAAGAGTATTGTATGAGGCTATTACGCGGTATTCAGAGGTGCGGCGAAAGAAGATGTGTGTGACGCGTGACAGATGGTTGATGACGACGTTGTTGCGGCATTGCCGGGCCGCTACACCTTTTGTCTCAATGAAAATCGCCCACAAATAACCTGTCAACCACATCTCATACATCTTATGGGCGGCAAATCCCAGCGCATTCAAGAACTGAAGCAGCAAGGGAGGGCTCGGTCGCGCTTGGTGCGCATCTGCGATGACATCCAACGACTCGAGCCTTACAGCAGACACTCCCGTTCGACTCGGGACTGAGCCATTGGGTAGCTCTCTTTTGTTATTTTTTTTCTTGTACATCTATCTGTCCAATTTACATTTGCACACGCCGATGTAGCAGGCGTTCATCGCTTGGTTCTCATCGCGGTTAAGTTCAACCTCCTCTGGATCACGGAGGCGATGTCTCTCCAATATCGGCTACCTTGAAAGCGGAGGCGAAGGGTTGGCAGCACGCACCTCCTGCCATTTGCCTCGATTAATGATGATAGTCAAGATCCTCAGGACGGCTCGGTTGTGCTTGGTGCGCATCTGCTTTCGATCCTGGCGCTGAGCCAGCCTTCCAGCAGGCACCCCCGTTCGACTCGGGACTAAGCTATATCCCATATCTGATGGTTCTTGTATTCAGACTTGGATTCACCGCACATCCACTCATTCCTTCCCTCTCTCCCTGCTCCCGTCGTCGTGCATCGCTCGTACGAATCCATCGCTCGTAGAAATTCAACACTCAGCACAGTTTTCAACCGTCGCACTAATTGGCCGGTTTGAAGGTGTCCGCATATATTCAACAATATTAACGGAGCGGAAGGGTCGGTATCGCATGGTGCGTATCTGCGTTCCATTACGGAAAACTTCCTGCACGCCGTCGCAGACAATGCCGGTTCGACTCCGGCCCGGCCCTTAGGGTAAGTATGTGCTTCGTTTCTGTTTTTTTTCTTCTCTTTTTTGGATAGCAGTGCACCCATGCCACGAAATGATACTGAAGCCTAGCCTGAAGAACAGCCAAGCCTTTGACGTGGCACTCGATGAATATCGCCCACAAATATCATTTTGACCACATCATATCATGCCCTTAAATACAACCGTATATTCAAGCTTCTGAAATGGTTTAGGACGGCTCGGTCGCGCTCGGTGCACATCTGCTTTCGACGATGTGGTATTGAAGAGCCTTACAGGAGACACCCCCCGATCGACCTGGGACTGAGCCATTTGCGAGCTCTATTCCTCTTTTTCTTCTTCTTGTACATCTATCCCACTTACACCAGCCTATGGCCCCATCCACACCCGTCGGCCTGCGCAGGTCATCAACCCATTTCATCTCGGCAATGGGCCGGGCCGCAACTTGCAACATACAAACGGTATCATTTGGATATCCTGGGATGCTCATGAACATCGCGACGTAGAAATCGTATAACCAGCAGTTCAAAAGTGCTCGGTAGCGCGTCGTGTGCGTCCCCGTCCACTCGACCATAATACCTTCTGCGGATGACGCCTGTTCGAATCAGGCCCGAGTCATTGTCGCCTTTCCGGACAACTCTTTTTTCCTTTTCATAGTGATTTTGATCATAAGAATTTCGTCCCTGTCGAAAAAGAAAGGAAACTTCAAAGTTCAAACGATGAATGGCTCGGGCCTGAGTCGAACGGGCAATGTGTAAGGGCAACCACGAAGGCCCGAGGTACTCAGGGACTGACGTGGGGGGTCCAAAGGTTAATTGACAGTAGCTAAATATACAGAGAAGCATACCTGACGTGGGGGGTCCAAAGAGAAGAAACTCTGAGGATTCCCACGTCAGCCGTGGGTATAAGTAAGCTACTAGCTAAGACCATGTGACCGGAGTGATCGGCAGATGTCCCGGGCTTGGTCACATGCGAGGTGCCATCGGGGGTCCCCCTGGCGGGTCACGTGCCGGCTTCCGGTACCGGTTCCGGTAGGCCGGTGACCGGGAGAGCGACCGGAAGGACCGGAGGGGCCGGAAGGGCTCTGAATGGGGGTCGGGACGGGGGTTCCCCTGACACAATGCTGCAATAGTCCAGTTCTACCCGTTTCTGATCGCACAGAATGTAGATGCGACACCACACGTTACCGTGCCTTGCGCAGCTAGTACCCTCAGGCCGGTGTTAAGCTGCATTATTTTTTAGATTCTTCTGCCTGGCTAGACACCACTTCCTCAAGTCCCTGACTCTGTCTCCCAGTAATGTGATAGGCACGGCGAAGAAAGGAGCCAGAAAAAGAAATTTACGGCCGAACGATGCATGGCTCGGGCCCGAATCGAACGGGCAGTTCTGCAATGATCCAGGTCTACCCTTTTGATCGTACAGGAATGCTGATGCGTACCACACGCTACCGAGCCTTGCGCAACTAGTAACTTTGGGCCGTGGATAGGAGGTCTTGCTGTTAGCGGTAGCGCGTGGAGCGCGTCCGCACAAAACGAGAACTACCTAATCAACATGAGAACAAAACATCAGAGGCTTTGCTCACTTCAAGTTGCGAGAACAGCTTCGCAGCGAGAACAGCGGAAGAGAGCGTTATATGGAACTTCCACTCCGGGGATGAAAAAAGCGATGTCGATGTGATACATCTTTCAACTAGGTGATATAAGTACGTGCGTAAGCGTGCGGGGTAGGGGTAAAATGAGGCTAAGGCTCTATATATAAGTATGAGGATGATGGAAATGAGGGATGAGAGATGAGGGATGATGTGCGAGATAGATACGCAGTGAGTGAATGAACCGAAGATAAAAAGAAAAACGCAACCAGGAACGCGGAAGAGTAGAGCAACACAACACAATACTGAAAATGCATTTTAGTATGTGATGCGCTGCACGATCGATTGAAATATACGATAGTATCGATACATATTACACAAGCCGTGAAGTAGAACCATACAATTAGGGCGAACCAGAAACGAATACAACCGGCTTGGACGGCCCTCTGCCGTTCTCGTTAATCTGCAACTCCGGTTGCTCGCTGACCCGGAGCATTTTTATGTTGAGGAGGGTGTGCGATGAGACACTGGAGTATACTCTATATCAACGGAGTGTTGAATCACTGTGATGATAGGTAAGACAATGATCAAGTACGCACACAAGGGCGGGACTGGAGGACGCCGGATATGGGGTGTGAGATAAGGTTACAAAGACTGAAGGGACACGTACACGACGAGGACTTGCTTGAGGGTCTCTCTCCGCATGGTCCATATCAAGAGCTCCGACCCACCTGCGGCTAGGGCAAGTATTAATCGGTGGTCAATGCGAGTAAGTGAGGTAATAACAAACATACCAAATACAAACACAAACCACACGACCCCATCACGGAGGAAGAGCTTCCAGACAGTCATCACGCGGTGGTCCGCGCTGTATAGCGTGCGGATGCATTTGTATAACGTCATCACGAACATTATGAATGTCTGAAATGATATCGGAGATCAGGGAAGCCGCTTGTGAGGTATTTAGCGAGACCCACGACAATGAGAGGGGCAGCGGCATAGAGGTTGAGGAACCTCGGTACATCTAAGCTATCATTAACCGCTTCCCCCCCGTGAACAAAGGTATTGCACGCACTGTAGGCGTAGCAGCCTTTGATGATTGATCTGCGTGCGTACGTTAGGTGGATGTTCAGGACGGGAGAATCGAGTCGTTTTGTACCCGAGATGAATGTAATCTAGAGACAAGTTAGCTATCGCATCGGAGATGAAACAGAGACCAACCTCTCATTTGACGAAACGCGAACACGTCCACGATTATCCTGTTCTCGTTATGATCAACAGCCACCGGATTCAGAAGCACTTACATGACAACGACCTCAGCTATGTGGGCGATGACAATACGCAGAAAAACTAGACGAAGGGCAGTACTCACACATTCCGAGGCATGCAAAGAAAAACATCATCCACTGCGGGCGCCCGTACAAGATCCAGACCCTGGTAAATTTGGGTCAATCTACGATTGCAATACATAGAGGTAGGAAGACCTGAGCATTAGCACGAAATCCACCGTCGCTATCAACACGGTTGAGGAGGAGCCCTGCACCTGGGCAGATATCAGCCTTCCTTATCAATGTCCGCAGAAAGGCTCACCTGGAGCCAACCGACGCAACTTTCAATAGCGGCGTTATTTAATTGCAGGGGAAGGAAATTGGAAACATACGACTAGGATAAGGGAGTTGGCGGCTGCGATGCACGAAATTGCGGGACACTCACCTGCGACGAGCTGATATCCCGGACAATAACTGCAATAATTGTGAGACGCGACTTGCGATGGCCGTTCTGGCTTACCACTGGCATTCAGTCTGCCCAAGAAGTAAGTTAAGTGGGCTGGTGTCAGGCTGGTGTGCTCACCCAATTACGAGGACACTAAAATAGCGATTCCAGAGCTGGAAAATACGCTGTCACCGGAAGGGGAAAATTCAGGGAGAATAGTTATAGCACACGTAGATTATTTTGGCGATACCCCACCGGCTCTTCCACATGAGCTCTACCTGAAAATCCTCATTCAGAGCCATGTTCCGCTTTCTAAATATGCGGAGGGACAGACCTCTTCAGGGATGCATGAAAAATAGTCATATCTGGAACTAAGGTCAGATGTGGATCATAAGAGGGGCGGAGAACAAAATCTCTACAAGAGTACGCATAGTGCGGCAACTGCGCAGGATCCAGTAAGTAGCCGAGGCATAGCCCGACCGAGAGTAAAGCACGCACTCGCAAGGTATCCCGTGAGCCTCGAATCTGCCACCAGCTGCAACAGCTCATCGTCGCTTGACATGGAACGAGTTCCCAAGAGGGTGGAAGTAGTCAGGAAACTCCTCGCACAGACGCCACAAGCACCTCAATAAAGCCCTCCCATGCTGTGCGTAAAGGCGTCTATTAAAAAATGCAACGCCCACTGGCATGATTCCGCGAGGCAGATTCTTATCTTTGGTCGAGACATCTGACAAACATGGGATACCCGGTGTATTGCGAGTCCAGTCAGAAAAGCCGATGAGATCGTGGTGAGTGAAATTACTTTGCTTGTATCTTAAGCAGATACCCTGATTTCGTGTGCACCGACTTATATTCTCCCATTCTCCCACTCTCCGCCGGCAGCTCCCGTATGTCCATCCCATTCCTGATTTCATTTCTGATTTCATTTCTGATTTCATTTCTGGGTTCTTCCATTTCTAGGGTCTGCAAGCTAGAGCTTGCACCTTCGTTCCAGGGTTTGGAACGTTATCTTCGACCTATCCGGTCACGCTCAATGTCCGTAGAAAAGAAAGGCTCAATTTGGCGAATTTTTTCAGCCACGCTCCTCGAGCATCCTAAATTCAGCGGTACTCTATCATGACTAATCCTTCTTTATGTGCTTTCTCCATTCATACCCACTCTTTTGGTCTTCCTCTTGGAATCCTCTGGTGGCCTTCCACTTCTTTCTCCTTTCATTCTTCTAATTTTCCTTCCAGAGCCCCATGTGCCTCAACAGCTGACCCACGCGCAGCTATTTCTGGACAACGCACAGCCCATCGTAGCTGCTGCTCCCTCAGGCACAGCCAAAACCGCAGCGTGATTCCATTGGCATCGTGCCGGGCCCGCGTAATATAAAACGGAGCTCTTCCCAGGAGTTCCGACTGGTCCATTTATCTCTTTCTGGAATCTTCTGGAACTGCGAGTCTGCGAGAATCTTTCTGGGATCCGTCACTACTTCTGCCCGCTGTTCCGCCGCCCCTCCGTGTCAAATAAAACTACTCTGGTCCAATGCTCAGATCCTCGCAGAGAATTCCCTGCCCAGCAATTTTGTTCAGACTGCACCTACCCGAGTCCACGCTCAATCTCTGGTTCTCGTTCGCAAGGCTATCCTTCAATTCACTGCTGTGGAATTCAAGGGGGAACCGGGATTAAAATTTCGGATATGGGGTGGGGGGGGGGGGGGG